TGCTTCACCACTGCTGGGACACAGTCTTTGACAATGGCAACAAAAGATTATGACAAGATCCTTAACGACACGCAGTTGGTTTAAACTCTTGCCCAAAACAACACACTGACCGCAGAGTCTCCAACCTGTCTGCTCAGTATTAGGGCCACAGCAGGCCCACAATGTCCAGCAGTAAAGGTTCTTGAGTCACTTGGCTGAATAAGTAAACAATTCCCCAGTTTCCTATGGACTCCTAAGGAGCAAAACAAGTTTTCTTCATCCACACTTCAGAATCTGGGAGGAGGAGGAAGGCTGCATCCTGTTCCTGCTCAGCCCCTTCCACTTTCACAGGACACCACAAACCCCAAGAACCCCAGGAGGTACTCACCTGCCTCTCTGCCTCAAGACCAAAACAAGTGCATAAAATCTACAGGGAACAATCTCTTCTTTCCTGAAGCTGAACCCTCCAGAACCCCAGCAGCAGATAGAGAGGTGGGTGTATTTCAAGGACATCCCCAAATTCTAAGCCTCCAAAGCTACTCATGACCCAGAGAGGATAGAGCTGACCATGATGCATCCAGGGCTTCAGTCCTGAGTGCCACACTGTCCCCAAGCATTATGTCTCATCAACAGGTCTGATGAGACTGTTTCTACAGGTAAGAGAACCTGAAAGACACAGGTTGGAGTGAAAGTGCGTCTTAGAGCTGCCCCTCGTGGCTAGGCTGAGAGTATCTGGAGCCCCCTGCAGGTATATCAGCCTGGGGAACGCCATCTACCAAGGTTGGTAATTTGCCTTTTGGAAATTCTAAGTTCCACCAGAGCTAATTCAGGAAACTGAGGGTGCCTTCCCCTCTCCTACAATCCACACCCCACTCCCTCCACTGTTCTGTCAGTCTCCAGGCCTTTCCTGAGATCCCAGGGCATTCAGAGCTCCTGAGCAATTTCTTCCAGTAGCCCACTCTTTATGTGTCCATAGTCTCAACTTGTGGGGGAATGGAAGTTAATGTAGATCAAGTATATGGAAATTCATGCATGTCAAGTGCCTACCCTGCTTCCAGAAGTTGTGCTAAGTACATTGACAAGCATTAATTCCTTCAGTCCTGACAAAAACTAAGTGAACCAAGGCTCAGAGAGATTGAGTAACCCTACCAAGTTCCTGACTATCCAATGAACCTTTTGCTCAGTAAATGTTGACTGAGATTAATTCTCACTGCCAAGTCCTTGCATCTCCCCATCTCCTCCGCATCACCAGACCTCCCTCATTCCCCAAGCTCCAGCCCCATGCTTTCTCAGCCTGAAGTCTACCAGGACTACTCCAAGTCTCCATCACCCTTCTCTCAAGGGATTCCAACTGCAGAGTAGGCACCACCCAACTCCACTCTGTTTTGTGGCAGCAAGTTTTTCTCTCCACAAAATATTAAAGATGTTAAATGCCCACAGCCAAGTCTTATGCTAGTTTGGAAAGTAGTTGTTTCAGTACTTTGAACAACAAAAATATTTTTAAACAAGTGGCAATCTTGTAAATATTTTTGAATAACATTAGTTGTTCAAATGCTTGCTGATTGCTTGATATAGATTTGAAAACCATCTCTGCCTTCTGAAGTTATAATGTGATGGGAAAGCAGAACTGTGGGGTGGGGGTGGGGAATCAACAGTGACAAAACCCTGTTGAACAATTCTAAGGACATCTTCATGATCAGAAATCAACTGCCAGATTACAACAGCACACAAACCAGGTGAGTAGGAGAGTCTGACTAGAAGGGCTAAAGATGATGTTACGGGATTGTGGAAGAACTTCCCTGGAGATACTTTGGAACTTAAAGCCTCAGTTTAAGGTTATTGGCCAAGGCCACCACAAACTGAAATTTATTCATAGGATACCTCTCAAAGAATCAAATGACCATCTGGGGGTTGGGATGGGAGCGGTAGAGGACAGTCCTGGACCATGTGAAAACAGTGGGAGAGGGGGGTTATAAAAGAGGACAAAATCCCTCATTTTCTGGTGAAGAGGATCTAGGAGCTCAACCTAAAAATGATGCTGTGTATGACTTTGTAATGTGTGTAATGAGTGTGATTATGGGACTGGGTGGTCCTATCACAGCAATATGAAAGAAATAATATTCATTTGTAGATCAGAGACTCACAGACATTTGGACTTGGATAAAAGGAAGCCCTCAAGAAGGTGAGAAAAGAAAGAGTAAGCAGAAATACATCAGGCCCCTGGGTGGAGAAGCTGGCGTTGAGGGCCGGAAGCTGGCTGTCCTAGGTTAAACCACAAGATGGAATCATGGGATAGGAACCAACCCCAGCCTTCAGGGTTGCATATTCTGACCTTTATAACAAATAGATAGTTGGTCCATGAAGGGTATGGAGTGTTAGTGATTCTCCCTCTGTCACATAATCACAAACCCAACTCTGGGAGGAAAGAGAGGCAGCAAGGGTAGAAAGGGGGGTTCTGGAAGTTTCAGGAGCTGACTAGTTCTAAGAACACAGTCTACAAACAGGGGTTGTGTAACCCTGGGGGGTAACTGAAGACCCTTTAAAGGGCACAGAGGCAAAACGATTTTAATAAGTTTTGAACTTGCAATCCTCCTGCCTCAGTCTCCTGATCCGGAAACCCCCCTTCTACCCTAGCTACCTCCCTTTCTTCCAGAGTTGAGTCTGTGATTACGTGACAGTGGGAGATTCACTAAAATATTCCACACCCTTCACGGCCAATTGTCTGTTTGTTGTAAAGGTCAGAATATACAATTCTGAAGGCTGGGGTTGATTCCTATCACATGATTCCATCTCCTAGTTTAACCTAGCAAAACCAGCTTCTGCCCTTGAACTCCAGCTTCTCCACCCAGGCGCCCAGTGTATTTTTGCTTATTCTTTCTTTTTACCATGTTCCAGATCCTCAGTGTCCATATTAACCCTTTCCTAAAACTGTTTTCTTGGGAATGCATCTGTGATGGAAATGCAGAACTCAGTTCTCATCTCCCCCATCCCCTCACAATTGTCCCTCTCTCACTTTTGAAAATAAATGCATGCTTCTGACCCATCCTCAATACTACTAGAAGGTATTTCACTAGCATACAAAAAACGTTTTACGATACCACACAAAGATATAATTGGAAATGTCAGTATTGAAAAGTAAATGAGTTTAATATCTGCCTATAAAATTCTTGTGATTTGAGTAATTTTAAGTGTGGAAATATAAAAATCTTTCAACAAAATGGAAGGAGAATCTTTCCTAAGTAATAGATGATAAAATACTAAAAATAATTTTTGATGACACATCATGTGTGATTCTTGGCATAACTAAGGAATTCAGTTAATTGAACTGCATTGCCTCAACAGAACTCCTCTATTCTCATATATTAATTTATGTTAACAAGATTCCTCAGAACTTACAATTTCATTACAAAATTTTTGCCAGAGATTATTGCTATGAATGGTCAAGGTAGTTAGATCCTAGTTACAGCCAGACAGAACCTCATAAATTCTCCATAATTATCAGGTATACAGCATCTTTTTTTCCTAGGCAAGTTCATATGGATTCTTTGTGTGTTCCTGGAACACACCAACACAAAGATCCATAGTCAGACAGGAAGCTCAGGGAAGATAAACTCGCTGCTGGAGTGCAGGGACCAGGAGTGACTTCAAAGACTTTTCATTCCAAACCTTGATTTAACTAATGAGAAATAAGAAACCCAGAGAGATGAAAATTGTCCCAGGTAGCAGAGGAAATGGGGAACATCAGGAGCTAGAAAGCAGCTCTATCCTGTCAGCCCAATGCTCTTTCTGTCGTACCCTGTACCTGGTAAACAAGTAGGGAAAGGTGAGACTGTGTTTCCATATTCTTCTGCACGGTAACACCACGCTTCCTCCTCACCCTCTCTGCATAACATGGATGGAGATATTCTCCTAGGACTAATTTAAGGATGTATCCCAGACCATCCAAGAGGAAGGTTTAGGTGAACAGAAAGGAGTGGAGAGTATATGCAGGAAGGAAAGACCTCTGGGCATTTCCACTCCTTTCACGAATTAACATCTTGGATGGCAATCAAGCAAGCACTAAAAGACCATTTCCAAGCTGAAACTCTCTTAGGACATTGACAGTGTCAACTCAGCAGATTTGCTAAAGACAAGATGATTATGGTGTAGAGGAGGGAATGTCCTGAGGAATATTTAAATGCAAAATATTTAAACATGTCAGAATGAATTCAATACATGCTACAACATGGAACAACCTTGAAAACATTAAGGTAAAGAAAAAGAAACAAACACAAAAGGTATATATTGTCAGGCATGGTGTGCACACCTGTAATCCCAGCAGCTCAGGAGACTTAGGCAGGAGGATTACAAGTACAAAGCTAGCACAGCAATTTAGCAAGCCCCTCAGAAACTTAGTGAGACCCTGTTTCAAATTTAAAAATATAAGGGCTGGAGATATGGCTCAGTAGTTAAGTGCCTCTGAGCACTTCCTTTTTTGTGTATAAAAATGTTCAGGAATGATAAAGCAAGGATGGTTGCATGACCCAGTCAACACACTAACAACCACTGCACTGTGTTCTTGAAGATGGTGAGTTATTTGCTGTGTGAATTACATCTTCAATTTGAAATAAAAACAGAATGGAATAAATGTCAGATGGAGCTATGGACATATTGTATATTCAGAGGCACAAGAGATTAGGGAGGATGCCACACACTGTGTCCCTCACCTTTAGATATTACTCATTCCGCTTTTCATTTAGGTCACACAGAAATCCTGAGAGTAGGCATATTTTCTTCATTTCACAAATGAAGAAACTGAGGCTCACATACAGTTTCTACAAGGACACAGGACCAGTCAGTGCCTCAAGGCTAACTAAGAACCATGTTTAGGTGGCTTCCCAGCCTGTGCTTTCCAGTACCCTATGATGCTTCCCTTAGCCTCTGGGAAGGGAGCCTCATACTTGCTGAGTGTTCCTGCCCATTTCACCTTGCACAGTGGTGGGCATACTCAAGAAATAACTTATCAACTGTCACCTCTGCAGATGACACCTAGAGAACTAGCCCTTGCCAGCCGCAACTACACCCCTGTTACCAAGTTCATCCTGCTGGGATTCTCCAGTTACCCAGACCTCCAGGAGCTTCTCTTTGTTGTCTTCCTGCTCATCTATGTCATGACACTTGTGGGAAACCTGGGAATGATAGCACTTATCGTCACTGATTGCCGTCTCCATAGTCCCATGTATTTCTTCCTCAGTGTCCTTTCTTTTATTGACATTTGTTACTCTTCTATAGTCACGCCCAAGCTCTTGGTCAACTTTCTGGCATCTGACAAGTCCATTTCTTTTGAGGGATGTGTGGTCCAAATGGGATTCTTTGTAATGCATGCAACAACTGAGAGCTTCCTACTAGCCTCCATGGCCTGTGACCGCTTCATGGCCATCTGCCAACCCCTCCATTATGGTTCTCTCATGACCAAGGGGACGTGTCTCCAGTTGGTGGCTGCTTCCTATGCATTTGGTGGAGTCAATTCCACTATCCAGACTGGGAATGTCTTTGCTTTACCTTTCTGTGGGCCCAACCAAGTACCACACTACTTCTGTGACATCCCACCACTTCTCCACCTAGTTTGTGCCAACACAGCCATACCAGAAATGGTCCTCTATATCATCTCTTCACTGGTTACTCTTCTGCCTGCCACCGTCGTCCTTACCTCCTACACATTGGTCTGGGTGGCCATTGGGAGGATGCGCTCAGCAGCTGGGCGGAAGAAGGCCCTCTCCACATGTGCCTCCCACTTCCTGGCCATTTCCATTTTCTATGGCACTGTGATTTTCACCTATGTTCAACCCCATGGGTCCACAAGTGATYCCAATGGCCAAATTGTATCTGTCTTTTACACCATAATCATCCCAATGCTCAATCCCTTCATCTATAGCCTCCGCAACAAGGAGGTAAAAGATGCCCTACAGAGGAAGCTCCAGGTCAACAACTTTCCCTGCTGAGTCCTGCAAACTTGTTTTTTGGACTGAGGAAGACATAGCATCTTGCAAATCCCCTGGTAAATTGACCTAGAGCAGCCCTGATTTTGAAAGATATGAAAGTGAGATAAGTAAATGTTTTTGTACAGAGCATTATAGTTGAAGAGCATCTCCTTATTCATCATGATACTGAATCCTTACCACCATATTCTTAGTAGCCATTGTTAAAATGATCCCATTTTACAAATGAAGGATATGGTATATAGAAAAATAAGTTAATTATTTAAGCTAGAGTGTGGATTCAACATCAGGAATTTCACACCAACACAAAGGATATTTCAGTTACACCACAGCCACAGGTTAAAACTTTATTAGCAGCTCATCAGATTCCAAAAAAAATCACAAAGAGGCAATGCAATCATTTCTATTGTGCCACTGATTTGGTGACATGGGAGTGGATAAGATGTGGCTCAGTTCTCTCTTCCTATTCCAAAGAGAAAGATTACCAGGATAAAGATATTCTCATATCTTATTGCAACTGCATTTTGCTGAGCTGTCTCAGGTCTCAGGATCAAGAGAGATCTCCCCTCAAACATCATTTTTCTAGCAAGACATGTCTGCATGTCTCATAATGCCCAAAGGTGTGTGGGTGTGCAGGGAGGTGATGTGTGTATGATGTTTGGCCAGTTACAGCATTATATAAGATACGGTGTCTGGGGAGATGATATGAAATTTTTAATATTTTTATGGCAAGTATATGTGTTTTAGAGAATCACACAAATGAAAAAGCTGAACTCAAAGACCCATTTCAAGGCTTAGCGTTGGATTGGAAAAAAGGCTCTTGAACTAATAATGCAAAGTCTCATCTGAACTAAGTTGAACAGAGTTGAACTGAGTTGGCTGCAGCCTGAGATATTGGTATTATTACCAAGCCTTTTTTCAACTCTACCTTAAGAAAATTATTCTAGATACAGAAGCTCTTCTTAAACAAACAGGTCTATCACAGCATCATGAATGAAAACAAAAATTGGAAATAACCTAAATGTTCAAGAGAGAAAAAGGATTCAATAAGTTGTCCCCTAAATGGATTTTGATGCAAACATTAAAAATTATAGTTAAGCAAACTGTGTAAGAACATGGGAACAGGAGGCCAGAATATCCATTGTGTGACTACATTTATGTAATAAACTAGAATAGCAGAAAAAACACAAAAAAATATAAATAAGTTATATTAGAGCAGTAGCACATTAGGAAAAATATTTTCCATTTGTCTCAAACATTTTTGAAAACATTTTAATGAGCATGTTTAATTTTGTACCTTACTCTAAAAATGAATAATTCTTTTAAAAAACTTTCCAGGAGTTGACCGTGAAATTTTCTCATTTTTGTCTTCTTTCATTCATCAAATATTTGCTAAATTCCTTCTATGATCCACATTATTAACTTATACATTACATTGTTAGAATGTGCTTGCACTGGGAGTCAGGACTAGAACATTATGATAAATATATTTAGTAAGACTTTCTCTAATCTATTCATCTCAAAGAATATTTGTGTGGCTATTAGGTGCCAGATAACATGGTAGGTCTTACATGGATTAACAGAATATATTTTAGGCAGACAGCTGATGCTATCCTAACAAATAAAACCCAAAATGTCAGTAACATAATACCACAAAGGTTTTTATCTATGCTAAATTGGAGACGTCAAGTGACTCCAGGGAAATTCCTGTCCATCCATTGGTGTGGCCTCTGGGCCTCTTTTGTCTTGGAATGCTACCCTTTAAATCTGTTGGTCAAGTTCATGTAGAGTATTTTGAAGGACCTAGCTGAGGCTGGCTCCCATCACTTTATCCTGTGTTTGTCCTGAAACCAGTCTTATGTCCTTGACATCACAGCAAAGGAGATAGGAAAATGTAATCTTCTTTTCTACCCAGAGGGAAGATATGAAATTTTGTAAACACACAGCTTTGTCAATGGCCAGTTGAACAGTTGGTTTAGAACATCATCTGTGGGGCTGGGGTTATGGCTCAGTGGTAGTGCGCTTACCTTACACATGTGAGGCACTACATTCGATCCTCAGCACCACATAAAAATAAATAAATACATATATTAAAAAAAAAGAACATCATCTATAAGGGGCATTAAAAATACTAGTGGAAGCTGGGCACTGTGTTGCACACCTGTAAACCCAACAACTTGGAAGGCATAGGCAGGAGAATCACAAGTTCAAAGCCAGCTTCAGAAACTTAGCAAGGCCCTAAGCAACTTGACAAGACCCTGTCTCAATAAAAAATAATAAAACAGGCTGAGACTATTGCTCAGTGGCTAAGCATCCCTGGGTTAAGTCCTTGATACAAAACAAAAAAAAAAAAAAAACACCAGTATAGGGTTTGGGGATGTATTTCAGTGGAAGAGCACTTGCCTAGCATACATAAAGCCTTGAGTTCCATTTCAGTACCTCCAAAAAAAACAAAACAAAACAAAAAAAAACTCACCAATGAAATAAATCAGAAATACAGTGCTTGTTATTTCATGTTTCTACATAATTTCCTTGAGTGGAAATATTAAAAGACTACCTGCCTGAACTTACCTATCTCTGTTGAGTAGTTTTTATGATACATTCAAGTTGTATGACACTAATACAAAGAAACTCTGAAACCAGCTAGTTGACTGTTGACCCAAGTTGGAGGTCATGGTTACCTTGAATTCTAAAATTAATCAATGTACAAAAAGTTGTATGTACTAAGAGTGATTTTATCAAAGTTTAAACTCTGTAATGTATCACTCAAAAAATGACATCATGTAAACATATATACTCCTGAAGAAAAAACTAGAATCCTAAAATAAGAAAGCATTTTGAAAACATAAAAAGTCAGAAAAAAATACAAAAGGTAAATGTGCACATTATATGTGATTCTACCTGTAAAAAGTGCTCAATCCACACACTGCCATTACACATCCTTACTGACACTTGTATTATCTGAAATTTTTGCAGATCTGGAGAGTATAAAAATATATCTAGGAGTCAGGTGTTATGGCACATACCTGTAATCCCAGTAACTCAGGAGGCTGAAGCAGGAGAAATGCAAGTTCAAGGCAAGCCAAAACCCAAAAAATACCCGCTAATACCCCCACCAAAAAAATGTATCTAGGGATTTCAATTGTCATTTTCCTAATTATCAAGGACATTGTCATGTTTATTATCAAACGCAGTCCTGAAAGTCTTTATTTGCTATGAGAATTTGTATGAATTGAGAACTCAATTTTTTAAGAAGTTGAGAACTTCTTCCATCTCAAGAAGATCCAAGGAGGCAATCTGTTGCTATCCATCTCAACTATATAGATAGTAACAAATATTTTGTAGACTTTCAACCTGAGGAATTGTAAATTACTATCCTGCCCCATTCACTGTTGTATCCCCTGTGTCTGGAAAAATGCATGGGACATGGTAGGCACCTCTGTTCAACTCAAGAATTAATGGGCATCAAAGTTCTTGCTTTCCTTGGGTTCGTGTCACTGTCATCACCTGATAGCTTTTAAGAAATGCAGCATCTGGGCATTTTAGAAGATCCCCGATGATTTGTACATACATTTATTTATTTTTTTTTGTTTTTTTTTTTTTTTTTTTTTTTTTTTTTTTTAATACATTTAAGTTAAAGAAGTGTCCAAGTATGGTGGCACACACCTGTAATTCCAGTGGCTGCGGGGGTTGGGTGAAAGAGGAGGATGGCGAGTTCAAAGCCAGCCTCAGCAATGGTGAGATGCTAAACAACTCAATGAGGCACTGTCTCTAAGTAAAATACAAAATAGGGCTGGGGATGTGTCCCTGAGTTCAATCCCCAGTACTAAAAAAAAAAAAAATTTCAAGAAGTGCTGATCCATATGTCTCAATCCAGCTTTAAATTCCAGAGTGAACAAAGTATACAATTCTTTGCAATTCCTCCCAGAGCTCACTGTTTAGCCTGGAAGAATGTTTTTAGCACAGGAAAAAGAATGATGAAGACCAAGAAGTAAGAACACTTTACATCGTGCCCTCTTCCCTGAGCCTCTGTGGATTGCATGCAATCCACATTACAATGAGCAGTAAGCAAAGAATCAGCATTAACAGAACCATCCCTCTATCTGCTGTGGGATGAGGTGACAGTATGGCACTGAACCTGACTCTGCCTTAATTATGATGGGAAGTGTTGGTAACACTATGACAGTGGCTTCCTTTCCATAATCAACTTGTTGCTGGCAGACGGTGGCCCAACCCAGGACTACCTGTGTTATGGTTTGGACATGATGTGTCGCCCCCAAAAGCTCATGTGTGAAACAATGCGAGAACATTCAAGAGGTGAAATCATTGGGTTATGAACCTTAACCCAATCTGCGAATTAATCCCCTGATAGGGATTAACTGAGTGGTAACAAAAGTGTATAGGGTATGGCCGGACAAGATGGGTCATTGGGGGCGTGTCTTTGGAGTATATATTTGGTGATCTGAGCTTAGCCTCTCTCTGTTTCCTGGTCGCTAGGTGCACTTCTTCCCACTGTGTACCCTTCCACCATGATGTTCTTCCTCACCTGGAGCCTCGAGGAATAGAGACGGCTGCCTATAGACTGAGACCTCTGAAATCATGAGCCTTCCAAAATAAACTTCTCCTCCTCTAAAATGGTTCATGCCAGGTCTTTTAGTCACAGCACTGAAAAGGCTGACTAAAACAACCTCAGGCCCTCTGGAATACAGAGGTGGTCTCACTGAAGGAATGGGATGAGGAGAGCTCATATCAAAACATAGACTTGTAAGAAAGAAGGTAGGTGTTAGACCTCTTAGTTCTTTTTCTTTACTGAAGCTAAGGAAATTGGGTTAAGCCAGCGAAATTTGGGATTTGCTTAAAGCTGTCAGTGTTACCTTAATTAGAACAATGAACTTTAGGTTCCCCCCCCCCCCCCCCCCCACCAGGAGAGGAAGCCTTCTCCTTCCTCCCCCGCAGCCTCTGGCTTAGTGTTTGTCAGCTCTTCGATGCATCATTTGGAAATG